TTGCGCTACTCAGGGACCACTTTGGCCAGTGTGCTATGGAAGATCTAAGTTCGGCTACTCAGGGACCACTTTGGTGAGTGTGCTGTGGAAGAGCTAAGTTGGGCTACTCAGGGACCACTTTGGCCAGTGTGCTGTGGAAAAGCTAAGTTGCGCTAGTCAGGGACCTCTTTGGCCAGTGTGCTGTGGAAGAGCTAAGTTGCGCTACTTAGGGACCACTTTGGCCAGTGTGCTGTGGAAGATCTAAGTTGGGCTATTCAGGGACCACTTTGGCCAGTGTGCTGTGGAAGAGCTAAGGTGCGCTACTCAGGGACCACTTTGGCCAGTGTGCTGTGGAAAAGCTAAGTTGCGCTAGTCAGGGACCTCTTTGGCCAGTGTGCTATGGAAGATCTAAGTTGGGCTACTCAGGGACCACTTTGGTGAGTGAGCGAAGTTGGGCTACTCAGGGACCACTTTGGCCAGTGTGCTGTGGAAGAGCTACTTTGGGCTACTCAGGGACCACTTTGGTGAGTGTGCTGTGCCACTTTGGCCAATGTGCTATGGAAGAGCTAAGTTGCGCTACTCAGGGACCACTTTGGCCAGTGTGTTGTGGAAGACCTAAGTTGGGCTACCGGGCGTGCTGAAGTCCAAGTGTGCTGTGGAAGAGCTAAGTTGGGCTACCGGGCGTACTGAAGTCCAAAGTTCTAAAAATCTAACAACCCCACAGTCCTACGGGTGGGGAAAAATAGAACAACCTGTGACACTACACCTATATAGGTGTTCCTGCTCCTGACGGCTCCTATTCTCTTGGCTTGTGTTGTCGATGTTGCCCTTCCGCCCTTCTCCTCACCCTTTGCCAGCACTAGGGCTCAAGCGCAACTTCGCATGACATAAAGGCTCGCCAGCATTCACATTCAGCTGTCATCCCTGGCCAACTAGACTAGCAACTCTTCTTCATTGGGAGCACAGCTTGTGATCTTCTTGGGCGCTGGCGTTGGACATCGTCATTGAAGTCATGGACAGCCTGGTGGAGGAATATCACAAGAAGCAAAGATTGCCCAGCAAAAAGGTGTCGTCTTGGCCTCCCAAATTGTCTCAGACCGAATCACCAAGACCTCAGAAGCGTCTTGGTAACTCAACAGCTTGGAAAGGCAGATTTGTTGCTGTGACGTGTGTTCAAGAGTCTGCACTCTCTCTCTCTCTCTCTCCATTCATTTCTATCATTGCCCATGCAGCGCAACAAGGCCTTAGAGTCTACCTCCGCAGCAACCGTGGAATGGCGCACCTAGCATGCATGGTGCCATCCGCTTTCATGTGGAGCTGTGTGTTTTCAGACAAAGGTTTCCCGTTACTGTCCCAGCCTGGGTGACACTCAAAGCACTTAGTTCGCCGAAGAGCATTCCTTCGTAGGACCAAAACTTCGTTGGAGAGTTTTCGAAGTTGTTATTTCAAAAACTTTGCAAAAGGACCGAAGGACCCAAGGAGCCTACCAGGCTCAAGGATCGGCAAGGGATCTCCTGTTTCCCGATCCATAGGCCTGGCAGAAGTCGTGACGCATGTTTCGTAGGACCGCACGTTATGTGGCATGGACCGTTTCGTAGGAACCTACTGAACATCGGGCCAGCTGCACTCATGAATATGCTGCGTTAGCTGTCCGGCTATGACCAAGCCGAGCCTTGGTTCTGAAAGGCAAGTCTTTGGTATATTTTTGCACAACTCAAGAACAGGGCACTTAGTGCAAACTATTACCCTTTGTCCAAAGCCAGCCTAAAAACATGGTTACTAAGCGCCTTGCCAGTCTTGATTGTGCTTGTCACCCTCTTTGTAAAGCACTTCCGAAAACCGAAGGTTGCGCTCCTCTAGGAACTCAAGCAAATAGTTTAGCGGCTGCACCCCTGTGATTCATTACGGGATCTATCATCGGCCATGTTCAAGTTTAAAATAGCTTTTTATGCCATGCGAGGCCGGCCTCGCTGTTCTCGGCCACAAAAATGAGTGCCTTGAATTGAATTCCATATGACAATTCACCTTTGCCTTGACTGAACCTCTGAACAAAAGACCCTCGCAATCGAAGTCCAGCCTGATCAGACAGTCGTCCAAAAAGAGCAGTTTGTTGCAGAAGCTTCCCATTCTGGGCAAGGAAAGAGACAAAGACAAATTTGCCTCTGGGGCGCACTTGTTTACCACAAGCTACAGTATAACTTGTGGTTCAATCATTGTGTAAGCTTCCCATCAGGGCGGGCGGAGCTTGCTTGAAGAAGCCCGAGCCCTTCTGCGTCTAAGCCTAGGAAGCTTCCTTCCTACCCCCCTCCTCTTACTGGCCTGCCCCTGCTCCCTCTTTCAAACAAAAGAAACGAACTCGGCCGGGCTTCTTCAAGAGGCGCGCCGAGCTTCAAGTAACCCCCTCCTCTCACTGGCCTATCCCTCTTTCAAACAAAAGAAACAACCAAAAAAAAAAATATATATATATATAATTGTGTCAAAAATATGAATGATAATATATGATAAATATATATATATACATATGTATATGTATATGTAGATAATCAAGTTGCAACACGGCATCGCCTCTGGCATCTTTGGGCCTGCTTTTTCTCCTTCCGTCTCTTCAGCCTCCGCGAATGGAGAGTATCAAAACTGGCAAAAGGACCGTCACATGAGCTCGAGCCTTCGCTCTGTCGCTTGGTTTTCGAACTTGGACACCACATAAGGCCTGTGACTTTGACACGAGGAAGTCATGCTCCACAAGGAAAGTGTTCAGCAACTGAACTGAAGAACATGCAATGCCAGGGTTCTCAACTTACTAGCTGCAGCGTAAACTCGAAATCAATTGCGGGCACTGCCTTTTGGATCACAAGGCATAGACTGCTCTTAGCCATTCAATTCATTACTTTGCTGATCGAAGCGTCCTAGGACCTCTGCTGACTTGACTAAGGACATGAGCCAAAATCAACACTTTCTCCAAGGATTACCAGCTGGGAGACTCAAAAAGGATAGTCAAATAAAGTCCTAAGTTCTAAGAAAGCGCTACAGTATTGCTGCGGAATCCATCTCAGCTCAGTCCTTCAGTCTTAGAAAAGGTCAGGAAAAGGCACTACCCGGCTTTGGTCGGTGGCCATGAAAGGAACTGTACGCACGATGCATCCCAAATGCAACACAATCAAAGTTCTTCCTTTTAAAGGTTTCGCTCTTGGAAGCATCTTCAGAAATTCGAACGTCTGCTTGCAATCTTTGCAACAAAGACCTCATGCACATGCAAAAACTGAGGAGTTTGGGAGAGCTGTGCAAAAGCACATGAAATGGCATTGAATGAGCTCAATCTCCTGGATTCAGGCTGATTCAGCTGAGGGCCTGCAAGCTATCAATGCCTCCCTTGAGACTTCCCTTGATCTCTTCCATAGAGGCATTAAAGCGACCAATCTCAGCCAGGACACATTTCCTCAGGTCCACCAGATCTTTCACTGTAGCTGTGTTGTTACCTCGTAATGAGAGGACCACCTCCATCAAGTCTTGGAAAGTGAGAGTTGCATCAATTGAAGGGAAAATGACTCCAACAAAGTCAAAGAGACCAACCACGTCCACTCCGACCTCCTGCAAAATGCGAGCAGCATTTGGCTGCTGGACAAGCTTCACAAATTCCCGCTGCGTCAAATCCTCTTCGCGGGAGAGTCCCACCAAGTCCATCACATCTTCTAGCTTGTTCTGCACCTTTGCCACTAGCAATTGCTCCTTTTCGACAGATGCAATCACACTTATCACTTCCACGAGAATACCTTAGATTTGCTTCAAGAAAGCAGGAAAAAAGACATCTTCCCCAAAAGCGGTTTCGTCCACAGTAAAACCATGACTCTAGACTCCAAGCAAAACCAGGATACCCACTAGCATGTTCATCACCGTGAGCGTCCCCACCAAGATGAACCAAATGAACACGAAGCTGAAGAGCAAATTCTCTCTGCCAATCTCCACTACCACCTCTGAGACACTGTCAAGAAAGATTCCGTTGAGCAGCAAGGTCGTCATGGAGTCTGGAATGTTGCCAAAGTACTTATCTGCAAGTGGGCTCCCCTGCGCCAACTGGGTGAATGCAATGCCGAAGACATAGAGAACTAGGACCAACAGAATCACAGAGAAGAACACTGCCCGGGTAGCAATAACCATCGCCCTCACGAGGATAAGCAACTCAGGCAAATGATGAAGCAGCCGAGCAATTCGAGCAATGCGCACGATCCGCAGCAAGCGCACGAGCCGGATCATGCCAGTGCTGTCAGAGTGCCCCCCATCGGTGGCGCCAGCTGCCCATAGGACAAACTGCAGGAGCCACGTTTCAACGACCGTCACGAGCATCAAGGAGCCATCAAAAACCATCCAAAAGTCCCTCAAAGAGTCTCGTTTGTTTCTAAAGGCCCCAAAGCGAAGGAACCATTCCACGAAGAAGTACAAACAAAAGAAGTGCTCTGCGAAGATGAAAACTGGAGACGTTGTGTCAGAAGGCTTGTTGAAATCGGTATCAATTGCTAGCCAAACTGCATTTAAACCGATCACGGCCAGTGTGATGTTCTCAAAAGATCTCTTTCGAGCCACTTGTTGGCAGCAACCACTGGTTTTGTAGAAGTCAACCACATTGTATTCTGGCTGTCCGATAGCTGCCCGCACCCTGGCTTTCATGTCTTCCGCATCGATGAACAAGTTGTTTGCAGTCTTTCTTGGGAGGTTTTTGGCTTTCACAAGGCTGGGCCCGTGAATGCTCGGACTCACATCTTCCGTACCAGAATCAGGCTCTTCGAGTTCTGGCATTGAATGGCAGTGCAACAATTTCTTGGTATCTCCGAAAGCCTCTGATGTGTTGTGCGCAAATGTTGCTCTCCGATCTGGGCGTATCTTTGAGCATTCCAAACCTTCTGGATTCTCCTCTCTCTCTTCTCCATCGGGCACTGCACCCAAGAGGGTCGGTGGTATCACTTGCATTCCTTGCGTTGAGGCTGCCAAAGCGTGGCCACTCTGAAGTAAATGTTTTTCTTCTCGAAGTTGAACAAGCTCTGTTTGCACACGGGTCATTGCAGCCCTCTGCCTTTCAAGTACTTGGAAAACTTGCTCATGGCTTTGTTGCAGATTCTGCACTGCGGATTTCAGCACCGCAGCCAAGCCATCCTCTGGTTTCCCCTCATTCTCATCTCCCATGCTAGCTGCTGGAATGTCTGCTCAAAAATCAGGAACACTGCTACGCCGACTACACTCAGAGTCTTGACCCAAATCAGCGAGACAACTGTTTCTTGGTGCACGTGGCAGTAAAGCTTGGTGCACAATTTGTTTCTTTCTCTCAGCAAACAGTTGCACCTTTCTAGCACCCTCCAAGTCAACTCAGTCTACTCAACTCTGTTGCCTCTGAAGGTGCCACGCTGGTCAACTCTCGCTCCAACATAGTGACCTGAGGTCCGGAGTTCAGCTGTGTCTCCAGCAGTAAAACCAATCATGTTTCCACCTTCATTCAGATGGCTGTATCTCCAGATGCAGATGCCACACCCAGCTGTGTGCTAACTGTACTCCGAACAAAAACCTTACGTTTAAGTGCCAGGCGGCTTTGTTCAAATTGGTTTCTTCATCCAATGTTTGCTCATCTGCATGAAGCCATATCAGGTTCACAGTAGTACCAGTTGTGCACACAAGGTAAAATCAACATGGAGCACTTGCCTGGCCTTCTTTGGGCAAAGACACATGTGTGTCCTGAAAGGATTAATGATTAATGTATATGCTGGTCATTGTGGAAATGACAGGAGTGCAAGCTTCATTTGTAACTGTTGAAGCGTCGAACGAAAGTTCAACAAAGCCAAATGATAGAGCACTCGGAAGCAGGATGAAAGAGATGCTCCAGGAAAATTGAGTCCCTCACAGCAAGGCCTTGAGACAACCTGCCAGTCAAACAAGCACCGCATCAACAGATTGGTCCATGACAAATTGTAGATCCTGAGCCGTTGGCCGCCTTCTCTCAATACGAGCCTCATGAGGAAAAAACTGCCAGGTATGAAGCCCGGCCTAACAAGCATGTTCTATGTGTTTACGGTATATTATATCAATATATATATATAAAGAACGTCCAAGAAGCGCTCCATTTCTTTATCTCAGCGCGCGCTGGATACACACATGTTGGCCTCGGTGGCCACATCTCAACCCACTGCTTAGCGCGGGTGAGGTGGGGGGGTTACTAAATGAAGCCGGCATCGTTCGTTTTAGAAGTGCAAAGCGTCCAAGAAGCGCTCCATTTCTTTATCTCAGTGCGTGCTGGATACACACATGTTGGCCTCGCTGGCCACATCTCAACCCAACCCTTCCCACCATCTACAGCTCAAGCTCTTCGCTAACAAGCAGTGGGTACCAAGCATTGCTAGGTATTCTGGCTCTCTTCAAGGCCGTTGCACGCTCCAACATTAAAGGAAACAGCTTTGCTATAACACGTCCACGTTGCAGCTCCGACATTTGCGACAAAAATTGAACTGATCTAATTTCCTGGATATATATATATATACCCATCACTTTTGCGTTGACCCAACGCCCGCGTCTCCCGTCTCCGCGCAAATTCTGAATCCTCTGCATGTTGAACCTGCCGCGTCGCTCCACCGGGTCTCAAGGACCCGGCGTCCAGGGTATGGAGGGCTCCAGTTTGCAGCAACAAGGCGCCGAGGAGATCATTGAATCGCAGTCGAAACGTTGAAGTGGAAAAGGGCCAAAGACGCTGATGAGCTTTCATCTCAGCGAAAGAAAGTTCAACCAATCTCAGGAGGTCCGGGATGTCCAATTTTGCACTTTGGTGCCTTGCGGTAACGAAACGTGTGTTCAGCTCCACCAATGACAACAAAGCAAAGTTGTTGGTGCCCAATGTATCTATGGGCAGCACGAGGTCCTTGCGCAATGAACCGGTGATTTCACTAGTCCTCAACAACGCTCCCCAGCCAAGAGCCAGTAGACCCGCCATCTCTAGCCAACCCCATCCAATGGCCACACGCAAAGGAGAGGTCCCACGCAGGGTGCAGCTGTCGCTTCAAGACAGGCTTGAGGGATGCCACACTATTCAAAGATTCCATGTAAACATTGTATGGTTTGCCTCCTTCATACAAGCGCCTGCCATACAGTTGGAGAATCTCTTTGATCCTCTCCACATGCTTAAAAGGTTCCTCGAGCAGGGCCCTAAGACCAAAACCACAAAAATCGCTCCAATGCAACAAATCGCCATCAACTTCTCTCTGTTGCCTGCGGTGGCCTCAGTTACTGGTCTCCCAGCAGGAAGTGGTGGTCTGTTTCTCCTTGCAGCTTGTCTAGTCCAGTCACCCGGAGTGCGCGGCATGATCATACCATGGCACGGCGCGGAACCTACGGACAAGAAGAAAAGATAGACGGACGGCCAGGGACAAGGGGTCAAAAGGAATGCAACGCCATAGAGGGAAAAGAAAGGCCAGAAGGGCCTTCGCCAAACAAGCCAAGGGTCTGATCAAAATCCATAGGTGGGAGACTGCCTTGCGCTCGCAGGAGATAGAAGCGCTGGGCCAAGGAAATCCATGATTGCGCCAGCTCGATTTCATGAAGTCAAAGCTCTGAAATCCACGAAGTCCAAGCACAAGCTTAACCCAGTTGGACGCCCACCTCCGTAGTTTAGGGATGGCACAAAGCACACGACAGTCCGCTTCACTCAACTCGGATATGCAGCATGACCTCCAAGCCTCTCGCACATCACGATCTGTGGTAGGATCATCTGCTGTGTTCAGGCGAGTGAGTAGGTACAAAAGGCAGGGTGAAGTACACACACAGGTTGCTCCAAAGCTCCTCACAAAAGGTGCCAAAGCCACACTGGAAGATCTCCCCTTCGAAGCTGCACACCTGACAACGTTCGAGCCCACAAGATTCACTACTCTCACCGATCTTGTTGACGTAGCCAATCGATCAGCCAACCGACAAAGGCTCTTCATCTCCAAGATGTTTATATGCCTTGGCACACGAAAAGACCATGCATCAACCTTCTTCCAACAACTAGAGGTTGCCACAATGTTCCCAGCTGTTTTTACGCAGTCATCTTTTGCCAGGGCTCTGTTTCTAGCCAGCACAGCTTCTTTGATACAGGTAGCTAGGGCGGATGCCAAGCCATCAGTGTAGGAAGCTGAAGCCTTTGTGACTTCCCCCTCAACTGTAACATGTCCATGGTCTCTAGCGCGCCTTCTCCGTAGGGGTTCAACCTCCTTATTGACAGCGATGAATCGGAAACTCTTCTGATGTGGCGAGCCATAGGCGCACTTCTCACAACTTTTACCCTCTCCTTCTTCTCTAGAGCAATCTTGGGGGGCAAGAATCTCATCATTCACATCCATGGTTGCTCTCCTAGTGCAGGGACATAGTATCGCCAGGCTATCCACAAAATAGTCAAGATGTTCGCAGTGATCGTCTTCTCACAGCATGAGTTGAACCCATAGGGCGCCACCTTGGAACGAAGCGGTGGCCTCCTCATGATCGAAAACGTAGTGCAAACGGGTTCAACCATGATACTGCCCAAATGTCCCGATACAATCATATGACTTAGCCAGGCCAATACTCTGGTTTGCTTCATGTCCATTTCTCCACTGAACTCAATGTCAACTGGAGGACCAACTACCAGGCCGATGTTCTCCGCCTCGCGGGAAACCTTCGCTGATCCAGCAAACATTTCAATGAAGCCGTAGTGAAAAGCAAGCTCCCTTTCCGGAGAGGCCTCAAAAGAAGACTGATGGGTGAATGCCTCATCCTCAGAGACGGCCCCCTCTTCTCTCAAGCCCAGTCTATCCAGGAGATCTCGTAGTTTGTCTTGAGTCGAGTGTAGTCCCCTTTGGTTTTGCATGATCTCCGCAGCGCTGCAGACACATAACTGGGGACACGAGTCATTGTTATGGTCCCCTTGGAATCTGAAGCGTCTGTGGCAAAAATCCTTTCCTCGAAAACAGCACCAATGTCAGCTACTGCCAGTGGCACCAAAACCGAAAAGACCACCAGCTCGTTTGCTACAGTTCTCGGCAGGTTGACCAGCTTTTGGGACGGTTACTATCAACTGCTGTTGCATCAACCAGGCTGTGAACAGAAGAAAAGATGCTCATCAAAGGTCGTCTATACATAGCTATAGATGCGCAAGCCCCAACAATGCACACGCGTAACACGTCCGTAGTGCAAGGCAACTGGCACGTCTGCAAAGTGATCCAGCTCAAGGACAATCTCTTGCTAATCGGGGCTCCGACAGTTGCTATGCCTTCCTTTGAAGCTCTTTCAGAAGTATTGATCTCAGCGCCAATCATCTTCCCACGCAGCTTCCCTAGAACATCCTTGTGTGGTGATCCAAGTATTTTGCGCTCCTCAAAAACCTCTTGGCTGGAGGAAAATCGCCAGAAAAAGGCCTCCCTGCAACGAGCCTCTCATCGTCGTTCAGGAGACATTTTCGTTGCAGGAGTTGCTCATGGGCGGCTGTGGCAACCTCGACCCTTATGCGATCACCCTGAAAAAGCAACCAAAAGCAAATATGCACCTCATCTGCCAACATCGGGGTAGGATGAAATTCAGCAGCGTGAAAATCCCTATACAGACCATCGCTATAGATGTCCCGAGCCGTCTTCCCAGCAAGAGATAAACGCCTCGCAGCTAAAAGCTCATCAGTCACCCGAAGCCCTGAAAGGTCCGCGATGGACACACAAGGCCCTACTGCATTGGCCTTTGGGTGAAAAATTGATGATAAAAATCTCTCCTGTCTGTTGCAAATATTTGCAAGAACTGACTCCGTGGCTCCAAATACAAATCAACAAGGTCACTGCCTGCTGGAAGGCGGCGCGATGGCACCAATATTTTGCCCTCTTGCAGATTCATGCCACGCCCGTCCCCGATTTGTCTGTCAACCTCTAAATCTTTGAAGTTGTTGAACACACGGGTTTGCGAAAATTCAGGCAAAGCCTCAGCGCTCAAGAAAAGTAGTCCACGGGCATCCCAAACTCTGGCTAGCTTCACAATTTCGCTAGGGTCATCGGTCATCTGAGGGAACTCACCCGCCTTTGGCGCACAGCCGTTCTTGAGCAGCTGGGCAAACGATAGGCCATGCGCAAATCATCCGGGAGGAATTCAGTAGCGTCAAAATCTCCAGATCCTACCAGTCTCAGCCTCATAGCGTCTAGGCAGCACCTCGTTTCGGCGGGGTACTTCATGTCCTCCGTACATTCTGTCATATGGGCCGCCTGCACCTAACTTTGTCAAACTTTCAGTTCTCCCAAACGTGCAATTGTGGAAACTTCCGGCCGCATGCAAGAGTCTCAAGTGCTCCAGAATCAGGGCCGTCGACCGCTATAAGACTCATCAGCTTGCAAAAGATCCACTCGTGGCCCATGTAGGTCGTCTCGACAAAAGGCTCTCGTTGGGGAAAGACCTCAAACCTCCATGCCAAAAATTCAGCGCCATCACAGTGATACGCAACACCCGCTTGAGATGGAGCCTCCTCCGTGCATGAAGAGAGAGAGAGAGAGTGAGAGAGAGAGAGGAGAGAGAGAGAGCGAGGGAGGGAGGGAGGGAGGGAGGGAGATTTGCCGGCATCCTCTGAAACATACCAACTTCAGGCACAGGCAGAGGGAATAGCGTCGATATCGGAGCCATGTCACTCCGAGACACATGCAGAAATGAAGATAAAAAGGCAGAGAAGGCAGTTCTTGTCCTCATCACACTTTGCAAAAGACCAGCACACCTTCTCCAAAAAGTAAAAGACTTGGGCACCTTCGAGAAGAGCAAACCATCATGGTCACCCGTGTCCTCATCGGCAACCTCTCCAGAGAAGGCGCCATTGTCCTCCTCTGACTGTTGAGCTCTTGATCTGTGACCAGAGCCAGCACCACGGAAACTAAAACTGGCTCTTTTTCGTGCAGTCATCACCTTTCATCCAGGGCTCCCATCTTGCAGCGCCTTGGGGCGCTTTGGGAACCTCGGTTTCCGTTTTGGGGACTTCTCTTTAGCATCTGTCCCCTCTGCATCCTCTTTTGCTTTCTGGCCTTTCGTCTTTGCGTCTGGCTTCTTTGCAGCAAGCGCCTCCATATCCTTGATGTAGCTGAGCGTCGTAGCCGTCCAGGAAGGAGGGATCAAAGGGCTGAAGGGTCTGCCGCGGTACAATTGAATTGGAGGATCCTCCATCAAATTGATCAGATAAGCCACGCACCAATCCCCATTGTCGTGGCTTGCTTGTTCCACAGCCATTGCTAACAATGCCAGAATCTCTTTTGCTCCTTGGCTGTCTCCTTGCGCTGCCGCATCGACAGCATGAGCCAAAATCAATTGCACCAGGCCCAGGGTCTTTTGCTGCTTGTAGCCGCCACACTTCTCCAGATATTCCAGGAAGGACACCTGGCCTAACTCCTCTTCGCTTCGGGGGAGCGCTCGACCAGGATGAAGTCGCTTGTGAACCTGCTGCATCATCAGTAAGGAAAAGTTCCCCGATCTTGCAGCTAACTCGGCTTGTAAGTTTTCCCTTCTCTGCACCCCCTTAATCGATGAAGATCCTGAGATCCCTGACTGAAGGTCTAAGAGAGGGTCGTTCGACTGCGCCATCAAGTGGGCCACCAAACTGGTTAGAGCTGGTGGTTGTTGGCTCAGTGCATTCACAATGACTCCATGCCCACCTTGTGCGGAGCCTACCAAAGCCTCGTTTGGATCTTCTGGTGCCTGAGCCTCTATGGCCTGCATGGTTCTGGGGGGAGGTCCCACAAGGCTCATCGTCTTTGAGACGGTAGTTGGATGGCCAGAGCTTCACCGAGATGGGTAGGTAGCTCCGACGAAGGTTTAACAATCTCCCAACCAGCAATCGTAATCACTGACTCAGGCTGAGTCGTCGAGGACGAAGATGAGGCCAAATTTGATCTTTCAAGAGCTCAACTCAACCTGTTCAAAGCACTAATGAGTTGGTTCACGTCGTCCTTGGTCACTGCTTGACTCATTCACCGATCCTTGTAGGCTGCTAGTCTTGCCCTCTTTTCCAGCCCAGTGGTTCGAAGAAGCTCCAACTCAGGGCCCGATGAGGCAGAGGGAAGTGAGGGACGAAGCAAAGGAAGGTGAGGCTGGCGAGAAATCCACAAATAAAATCCAAGAAGGAGCGAAATGGCATGTCCAAGGCTAAGGCCATATGAACCAAGGCAAGGCAGATGTGCCACAGCGAAGCGGGCAGGATCCCTTGGCCGAAAGGTCAGAGGCGACAGCGACAAAGTCGGACACAGACTTCAAACTCAACATTACTTGAGCGGAAAATGAAGCCGGCATCGTTCGTTTTAGAAGTACATATATACTCACATTCCTCAAGGTCTTATACAAAAGGGAAACGCACATTTGGCCCTGAGTGTAAAGAAAATGCAACATTCTCAAACGCAACATGTTGCATGGCGTTTGGTCACAATCCCAGCCTGGACCAGTGTGGCCGCGACGGATCCAGACATGGATGCTCGGCGCACATTTGCTACCGAAGCAGCAGATGCCCTTGAACTTGCGAAGGGGAGGATTTGCTAAAAGCTTATATAAGAGTCTTGACGACTAAAAGCTGACAAGAGACGTTGAACTTCATAAAATGTTGTAATAGTCTTTAAAGGTGAGTGGAAGTAGGTGGCGATTGGCAATGTCTCGTCACGTAGCCTTCGCCGCAGCATCGGTTTGGACGGGCTTGCAGGGCTTGTAGGCCTCCAAACGGAAAAGATCTCAAACATACAAGACAAAATGAAAGACACGCATACTGGTACTTTCTTCTGAGCTTTCGGCTCATCAACATTGTTATGAAGCTTTGCTGCTGTATGCAAGCCTCACGATTCTCAACGGTCTGTGACGGAAGGTGGCAAAGCGGAGACAAACCCTCAAAAAACGTCATCAAAACACAGCAGTGCATCTGTGCGTGGTCTATGCGTGATTTTTGGTTCAAGGACAGAGCTCCCATCAAGCGAAGCGCGTCGTCCCCTTGGTGGATATACTACACAAAGTAGGAAACCAAACTGCACCATCTGCAATCCTGCTACTTACTTGCAATCTTGCGCAAACATAATTGTCACGTGGAAAGTTTGATCGAATACAAAGAAAGCCGAGGTGTCCACACTGCTCTCTTCTCACTTGGCTGAAAATGCCTTCATCCATATAAAACTGTAAAACCGCTGAGCTCATTTTGCGTTTGGATTGTAAGATGAACTAGACAGAATACTGTGCGATCGGTGGACTGTTCTCTCCAAAACATACTTTTTTTGCTGGTCTGCAAAAGTGTACCTAAGTGTGAACGCAATGGAAGATCTCAATTTTCTATTTGGGGTAAGCCTGGACCTTGCAGGGCTTCGATTTGACCCCTTATCGGCCATCCCCATGATACTCTCTGACGACGATCTTCCGCAGTGAGATCGAAGATGATTTCGAAGCGAGAATCTGGAGTTGGGCAATAAATTTGCCAGCACAAAGCTGACGGATTTGGGCCAGGACCTTCGACGATGTACCTCACAACAACGGGTCTTTGACAAGCCATGTGCTACCAGGAAAATGAAAATACTACAGGTACTGGACAAAGAGGAGCCATGAAAAAAGAAAACATGCTATTCTTGGAGAAGGAGCTCGTGCTGTCTCGCACAGCTCAGCTGTGGATAGTATGCCAGATTCGTGTCTTCATCAACAATGATGTAGAATCTTTCCACATGGCCTCCTCTGTGTGTTTTCATGGAGGGATACAAGCATTGCACCTTGCCAAACGCCTTGAAAACGCCAGGTTCACTCGGGTCCATGATCATTTGCACTGGGACCCAATTGGTCCAAGAGCCATAGACATAGTAGCTGTGCCTGTCCCATCCATCCTCGCTTTCCCACACCTTGTCACCTCGAATGTCTGAGGCTACAGTGACTCTCAGGTGGCCATCAACAACCTCCAGGGTCACGGTGAGCTCTTCACTTGGCATCCCACGGATCAGCCAATACTTTTTGCATCCCAGGCTGTCTGGGCCGCGAACTGGAACTGTGGTCCTCACAGCACCTGACTGAGCAGGATAGATCAGCTGGTTAATGTCACCATCTCGAGATATTTGAAATTCCTCTTCACCTGTCACCCCTAAGCGGAAGCTTCCCTGCCACATGCCGCTTTGAATCTGCATCATCTCCTGGAAATGACCTGCAGTGAAGGTTCCAGTCAACATGTAGCTGTGTTCGAAGGCTGGCATTTCCAGGCCCGCATCCAAAGATGCTCCCATATGCCTCCAAGAGATGCTTTTCACCTCTTGATGCCATCGGAATTCCACTTCATACAATGCTCCAGCTAAAGCATCACAGTCTCGTCCATCAATGATCCAGTAGCGTCCGCCACCTTTCCAGTCTGGACCCTCGATCCAAATCTTGCTAGATGCATCCTTTATGATGGGGTATATCTCCATTGACAGGTCTTCCTCAAGACAAATTCTAAACATCTCATAGCAAACTTCACCAAGGATGACGGGTGCGACATAAACACCCTTCTCTCGTCTTTGCATGACTTCCATTCTAGTCCACCCGCTCCAGGAACCAAGAATGTACGGCTCTTCATCCAGGTCTTCAGGCTCATCACTTGAAGACCGTCGATACCGAAATCCACCACTGTAAGCCTGACTCGAAATGTCATAAGGAGCCCATTCATCTCGAAGAACATCTGCCTTGTAGCCCTTCTTCTTCCGGAAGGACTTGGTGACGGGCTCGCCAGTGGTTACTTCAATCATACCTAAGGTGACAGGGCACCGGATGTGAACCTGATCTGCCTTCGACAGGTCCGGCTTGGTGTTTGCCTTCCTTGGTCCTGACTTGCACTGGCTCCACACATCTGCACGGGCATTTGTGCCGCTGAATCCAAAAGATGACACTCCGGCATAGTTGCTGTTCAAGCGTGTGTCAATCACTTCTGTGTCAAAGTTGCTTGGAAAGCCATCCACATCCAAATGCGGATTGAGGTTGTACAAATGGCAATTTGGATGGGCTTGAGAACTGGCCACCATGCTCACACATTTGATGAGTCCTATCATCCCTGCACATGCCTCAGTGTGTCCAATGTTTGACTTGGCACTTGTAGTCAGCAAAGGCGTCTCTCTGGGTTCCATGACACCTCTCAAGGCACCAACTTCAATCGGGTCCCCCAAAGCTGTCCCAGTTCCATGACACTCTGCGATGGTGATCTGACTGGCCGTCACCATTGCTTCTCGCATAGACTCTCGAATGCAGGCTTGCTGGGCCATTCCGTTTGGAGCTGTCAGAGTAGCACTCCGACCATCTTGATTAACGTATGTACCCATCAAGCAGCAGAGTTGACTCAGGTAATCCTCATCAGAGTCACTAGGCTTGATGTAGACACCTCCAAATCCATCACCGCGTGCATAACCTTCTGCGCTGACATCGAAGGTAAAGCAACGGCCTTTCACTGCGAGCATGGAGGGTCCGCAAAGACCAATGAACGTCCAAGGGCTCAAAAGCATGTTGACACCCATGCAAATAGCATCCACACCATGGTTGTTCACTACCGATTTGATCTGCCCTCCAGTGGCCTTTCTTAATGCTTGCACCGCTGTGGTCACACCAACTAGGGATGCTGAACATGCGGTGTCGATATTGGTTGAACCGCCTCTCAATCCCATGATGTGGGAAAGCCTGCCGGCTGAAACAATCTTTGAGACACCAGCATAGGTCCAATGGCTAGCTTCACAGTTCCCAAAAGCCGTGGCTTTAGTGGGATTTTGTGGGTTGTCCAATCGTTTGATTTGTGCAGTGAAATCCCAATCTGTGCCTGTGTCGCCCAGGAATGCTGCAGTTTGCCGTCCATTGAGACTTGTTTTTGTGAAGCCTGATTTGCGCAGCAACATGTATCCGTCCTCCAGAATCATGCGCTGGTTTGGCGATATGGTCATCACTTCTTCTTCTCGAATGCCAAAGAATGCGTTGTCGAAATGGATGATCTCTTCATCACTCATCATTGCCCCATGTCGGACATAGCTCAATCCAGGAACTTTCTCACCATCAATTGAACAATAAATGTCAATATCAAATCTTGTGGCTGGAATCTGTACAAAGCCATCAGTTCCACTTGTCAGCATGCACTCAACACTATCTAAGTTAAGTGCAGCGCCGGGTAAATGGGCATGCATTGCCATCACATGCATTCGGTAGCCTGTTGGCATTGGTGGTCCGACCAGAATGCCTAAAGCTTCTGAGTGCTGCATACTGTCCACACCGAAGTATCCAGTTGCTAGTTGCTGCACTACCTTTGAGCCAGTGTCCACTATCCATGTTGTCAATGCTACTGGTTCTTGGCCCTGTGGTTTGTAGTTGAACCCGAACTCGTCGCAGCGAAACACTAAAAGCTTTCCTTCAGATAATGGAATTTGTGTAGCCTGCCGGCTTCTATTTCCGGGGCGTGGAGACAATTCCAAAACACCCCCATCATTTGAAATGAATCTCATCAAGCAAAGTCTCCGTTTTTGAATGAACTGCAAATGGCTCTGAAGCACACCTGCATCCACATCCTCATCGGAAAGTTCCCGAGGTTGCAGTCGCTCTGCTTCCTCGGGATCCCGGAATGGAGTCCACACCATTCCCTTTCTTCTTCCAGCGCATGTGAAGCCAAGCGCTTCAGGAGTAATTGGCGCCAAGAGCTTGCAAAGACTAGTAAGTTCTGCATCAACTTCCTGCAAGGCCCAAGAAGTCTCAGGTCCTCTGTCTTCCAGAATGCCAACTTTGCTGTTGCACTCCTGTCCTAAGTAGTCTGACAAGAATTCTGCCCGCAAGCTTGTGTGGCTGGGTAAGGATCGAGCCTCGGAAATAGCCGTGTCTCGGAGAAGTTCGTCCTCATGCATATCGATGAGGCTCCATCCCTGTTCAACAATCAAGTCGACTGCGTTGCAGGCCAATTCGTTCAGTTGCTGAACTTGCTCGGATGTTTCTACATCCTCGCGTGGCCAACTCAATATCTGCTGCATTGCCATGTTCAGCCAGCTTGGTGCTGGCACATTGTGATACTGTTTGAACCCAAACAGCCAGTCGGAGGACATGCCTTGAGGTTCAAAAAGTGATGAACGGTACTTGCTAGCAATCTGTGGATGCCTCTGATTAGGTCCAACAGTCTGGAGCTACTTGGTAGCTGTAGCTGACAGTCTGACAGTCTTGGGAAACGACCCTGCACCCCTGAGGTCAAAGTGAGTCCGTCACAAAAATATCACCAGGAAATCTAGGAAATGCAATCTTGCGAGTGCTCAAATCTAGTCAGGAACTTTGACCATCGACTTTGTCTTGCTGTCGAAGTGCTTCAACGAACTTCGTCTGGCAAGCGACTTGCGCCGACCCTGCAAGCGACTTCGTCAGTCTGGGCAAGAAGAGATGGTCAAACCTCTAAATGAAAACACTCTTGACAAGAAAGAGCACTTTTGGAGGACAAGAACTCATCTTGGATTTCATCACCTCCTACTACAAACAAGGACACCCACTTTGTCAGAGGGAAGTCTTGAATAAAACTTGCCTCTGCAGACTCTTTGGCCGGCCTCAGTGTTGAATCATCAAAATTTCAACACTGAACCCGCGGAGCCTCGGGTTTCGACACATTGGCTGCAGAGTGCCTGTTGCAAACATGCACAAGGTCTGGATGCAAAATGTATCTGGTACAAAGATTCCTTGACACCATTCGTGTGGCACCTTCGCGTGCCAGGTTTCACCTTCCCAACTTTGGACCTGAAAGCACCACACCAGGCCGTTCCAAACAAGGACAAACCGGACAAGCTGCCGGGGTCTGGACTCCTCGCCAAATTCCGCAATCTCCTGTGCCGCAATTGAACTGGTTTGCTCCCTTAAAGCCAAAACAGAAGCCTCTATCGGTCATCAAATCGTGCCATCCTATGCCCTGACTGCACATCCGACACATCTTGGGGCCCAAACCTCCGAGTCTTCTGCCATGCACTCAGTGCCATATTTGACCCTTGTTTCTTGCGAAATATCAACAAAGTCAATAGATTCTACTGATATGCAAAGCCTTGTGTTCAACATGTTTTTGACGGATATGTACTGTCAACAAGTAAAAAACTTTGGCTGGCCAGCTCTGTGGTGTTGCAAACTGCGCGTTCACAGAACCAAGAAACTGTTAACTGCGGCAAAAAACGATTGAAATTCAGAGGAAAACATTTGATGCGTCAATGTTCAATGCCTCAAGAGAAATCGGTGTGCAAACCGCAAGTGTATGGTGTTCGGTCCCCAACAAGTCTTTTTGACAAAACACCTAACGAAACACTGAATATGTTCGTGGGACGAACACATACAAATGTGGCCGATCCATGCATGTTCATTTCGCTCCGAATGTTGGTCAACACTATTTGCAAGTGCCAAAACCTTGGTTTCAATACTGTCTTAAAACTAATTGCACCAACCTCAGCAAAGAGACGCAATCACAGGAAATCAATTAGGCAAACAACATCAATCTTTTGGCAACTTTCGTGCGCGATGCTGTTTGTCCAAATTTGTGACATTCAACTTGCGACTTTCTGGGCGACTCGCTTCCATCGCAACACACCTCTAATTGAAGCTGCCAACAAAATCCGAAGGTTCAAACCTGCATTCGGATTGACACAGTCAGAGTACAAAAACTGAGATGCAAATAGTTCGCAACCAGGTGCACAAAAAGACATCAACCCAAAACGTGCAAAACCAATGATTGCGGCTTTGCAAGGTCCAAGAAACCGATTTCATGTGTGAGACAATTATACTTGCGAAAACACATAAAAATAATGTTTCTGGCACGGTTTGACAACCGCAGGGCACCACCAAAAAACACTGATCCGTTTAACTTCTGGCTTGTACATCTCGCACGAGATGGAAAACCTTTAGATTGACTCTTTGGGTTGGAAATCATTTTTCAAGTGCCTTTCAATGCAACACCCCTTTTGTGACGCACTGGCCACACAAAAGTTGCGCTTCTGAGACACAAACTCATGTCAACCCTTACCCCTCTAGAATCCTACATTGAGATGCCTGAGGCCGTGTCAGCGGTCATTTTTCACACCGGAAAGCCATTTATAAGCATGGATTTAAATGTGATAATGTTGGACTTGGCAATTCCACAGCAGCCTTTGTTGAACACTTCAATGCAACACCCTTTTTGTGGCGCAGAGCAGTGCAGAGAAAACATGTCAGAAACACTGATCCGTTCAACCTCGCCCTTCAATGCAACACCCCTTTTTTCAGGAAACATTCACTGCAAAAACTGCAAAAGTTTCTCTTCACAAAGCTTCCAACTCCAAAGCTCTCCAAGACTTCGAAACACAAAGCTCCGTCGGAAACACTTGCTCAAACGCTTGAAATGCCCAAAAACACAATCCCGTGCGGCAGACCGGATCTTTCTTTGCACGAGTCGAACCGCCATTCATGCAGGAAGTGCAAAGGTCAGCTTGTGCAGTTTTTTGAAGAGTCTCCAGCATGAAAGGGGGGGAAACAACAAAAAAACACAAAGACAACAAGCGCCCCAAAACCAAACAAAACCGACAAAGAAAGCACAATGATGGAGACTCTTGGATGCACATGCAAGGGTGAGACAGATATTGGGCAATGAATTACTGCAAAAGGCCACAAGATGGGCTATCCGAAATGCGGTTCGAAATGATTGCTGAACAACGTCAATGACACTTGGTCTATAGGCCTGTTTAAGCAGGCCATCTCACCGAGCACTAAGAAAATGTGCTCTCCGTATTCAAAATATTGCATAGCGCTTGAAGAGGCACGGGCAATCTGGTCGGACAAACTGTGACTAACTGCGCTTGAGACAATGGGTATTCTTTTGAAATGTGCATATGTCCTCGTCTGCTTATGATTTTTGGCTCTGGAAAGCCACTGGTGACAAAGCAGCTCTAACGCGCCAAACGAGAGGGCAATTCATTGCCAACAGTGCGGCCTTTCGTTGTTGTTCAGTGTGTTTGCCCTTCAAGCGTCAGTCAAGTTGCAGTTTGTGCCATAAGAAAGGGAGAATGCATGGGTGTCATACCAAAATCCCCATGAACCCCCGCGCAGGGGGGAGGGAGGACACCGGTCCAAGAAGTGGGCAACCCGAAACAGCTTTGGCTGAGGGGGCAACTCACATCATTGTGATTGCGAACAGGCAAGATGGCCAGGTGTGTGCGCCTAATCCAAGGAATAACGCGCGTCTCTGCAATTGGTCTGGTGGCTGTACAGAGAGCGATCACACCAACCAACGCGACCGCTCTCTATGTACAGCTTGTCGGTTGGCAGGACAGCAGCCCACCTCCTGGACAAGGACTCAAGTCCCCGCCAAGGATCCAACATCCCTACCCTATCCTGAGGGGGGGCATCGAAAATTGTAAGTTACATTTTCCTGCGCGCAGGGCCTCAAAAAAAGTAATTGCATTAACTTTGAGGTGGCCTCAAAAAAGGTAGCTGACATTTTTGAGGCCTCATGGGTGATTTCCTGGGGAATGACCTCAAAAATGTAAGTTACATTTTTGAGTTACAGAGGAGCGCTTACAATTTTAGACCCCCCCCCATCCCCACACTAATTTCTGCTCACGACCACGTCCCGCATGGTCAAATGCGGCATTTCAAGGAAATGCCTGCCGAAACATGTCAGCCGTCAGCCATCAAGTTGAATGATGCTGCCCGCGGCCGGCTGCATCATTAGCATTTTTGAACTGAAAAACATATATATAAAATATATATGTTGTTTTGTTACAATTCTTTTTGGCCGGGGGGGTCTTCCATACACAACTCCTTCTGCAGCAAACAAAAACAAAGCAGATGAGGGAACAGCAGTGGGTCTGAGTCATCATCAACAAAGAAGAACAGGAAGCACACCCAAAGCAAACTGCCAAGAAACAGGAACATACATGTTCCCACTGAAGACCCAAAGGAAGGCAACAAAGCGAAACCCAAACATAACAGACGATCACACTCCATACACAATAAACAATAATGGAGAACAATAAAGGAGAGGCTGCCTGTTCTATTGGGCAGGAGAACAAGGATATTCAACGCCGTTTGATCCCCTGGTTTCTTGCCCCCTGCTTGCGGTTCGTGTGGTCGGACGTGTGTGCTTTTCAGTATGCTAAAATGTAAGTACCTCAGGGGGACACCCCAGTTCCTTGTAAATTCTGGGGAGTTGGGCATGTGGCCAAAATGTAAGTTACAATTTGTGAGGTCAAACTTTCTCACAGAACCCATGTATTCCCTGTAAAATCTGAGGGCTTGGATCCGTGGACTAATTGTAAGTTACAATTTTTGACGTCTGCAAATCTCACCTTTTGCCTGTGTCCTGGTCCTGCATTTTTGGAGGCTATGTTTTCCTTGGTGTTGAGGCATCAGCAAACAGTTGCCAAATAATACTTTTAGTTAATTACTTATTTAGAAAATATTTCATTAAGTGACTCCACCCGCAAATAATTTCTTAGTGATTGGCGTATCTTCGATCTGCCAACGCACCCTAGGGGGGTGGGTGTAAAAAAATGTAAACTCAGGCCTCCCAGGTCCCAAGTTACATTTTCCAGACCGCCCCCCCCCGTATTTGGTAGGGTCCTGGGTCCCCTAGGCGTGCCTACGCTATACGTGTGTAGCACCTGTTATCTTGTATAGACTAGTTCGTAGCTCTTCAGTCCGCTTTCGACCTAATTCATTTGGCTCAAGGCTCAAGACTTAGTAGCCCAATACTTGCATCCGCAGCCATAGAAAAGGTGTGCATCGCTGCCGCTCGCACACCGATCGCATTCGTGCGACTTCACTTGGTGTTTCGATCAGGTCCAGTTAAGCAACTGCCACTTTTGGGGGAACTTACCCCTCAAAGTGGTAGCGGAGCTTGTGTCTCCTGCTTCGCAACGGTCGATTTTGCCTTCGTGCCGAATCGTCCGATATTCCGGACAGGGGACAACCAAGTAGGTCACTTGTCTGAAAACAAATAGACCATGGTCCAGATCTTTAGTATAGATACGGACGAAGAGCATGACGACAGCCTGTCGGAAGCAACTGATCCAGAAGA